AGCAGTAATCTTACCATTGTAGAACTGATGTCTATTTAGATTTAAAAAATATATAAGCAACAAAGCAATCTTGGAAGGGATAAGTGAGAGAATGAGAAGATACAGGGAAAGTATGAGAGAACTGCAGATTTTTAGAGTTTATTTCGTTTCAGATTAGTTACAAACTTTGAAATTAACACTTGTATATCAACTTGTCATTCGTTCAAAATAAATCCAACCGTAAACTAAGAACAAATATATCTTTTTTTCAAATGTGCAAATAGGCACAAAATAGTTTTTTTTACACCTGTGCAAATCACTTGCTCTCATACCTGACAATCAAGTTTAAAATCACCTGTTGTTACAGTTGACTGAAGAAGAAAACGCTATCGCATTTCAAGGATTCCATTTAATGATTAGCTGCGATAGGCGAAGGAGATTCTGTTCATTCGAGCGATGAGTTGGCGGCAACTATAATGTCATACGACCGCAATCATATTTTTCGGTAACAACCAGACAGATACCTGAATTGCGAGAGTTTAAAATAACTCAAAATATTTGTGAAAGAATGACAACAATGCCATGCACTGACAGCTAACGTGACGTTGTAGATATTATAAGAAAACTCAAAAACTACAGATAGCTCAGTTTTCAAAACTTTCTCCATTATTATTATTATTATTATTGCTTTTATTTCCTTTGATGTCTGGCGTTTGCATATTTCTTTCCGGGTCCCTCCCAGAGACTTAAGGTTAGAAATGGCATCATGACACTTTCTACTGAAAAAAAAAATACATAGATAAAGCCCTTCGTAAAGTGTGGGCTGTACTTGTGAGAACACTTTTTTGTATTTGTTTGAGGCATTAGTCTACTGGAATCTTTTCCAAACAATCCTAGGGCTCCAACTACAACAGGGATTTTTGATGTTCCCATGTGCCACATTTTCGAGATTTCTATTTCAAGGTCCTTGTATTTTGACAACTTTTTGAATATCTTCAAAGATACATTGCAGTCAGCAGGGACTGCCATGTCAATAAGGAGGCACTTTTTTTTTGTCTGTGGTCTCTAATAACAATATCTGGGCGGTTGGCTTTGATTGTTCTGTCAGTGTCTATTGTGTAGTCCCACAGAATTGTAACAGGTCCTATCTCCGTAACCGGGTCTGGGTGGTGTTCATACCAGTTTCTTTCAGTTTCCTTCCCGTAGCATATTTTCCAGTTGCATATTTTCCAGTTGCATATTGGTCCACTCTGTCATGCCGGGTTTTATACTCAGTGGGTGCCAATATCGTGCAACCTGATACAAGATGATCAATTGTTTCTGGATATTTATCACAGAATCTGCATTTTGGGCTAACAATTTTTTAGTATATGTGCTTGATAATTTCTAGTTATTATTATTATTATTATTATTATTATTATTATTATTATTATTATTATGTCCCTCGATTTCTGGTGTATCTGGGTCCCATCCAGTGTATTTCTGTGTCCCAACCAGTGACATAAGGTCAAAAATAGTGTTGTGGTAAACCCTCCTACAGTAGAATGAACTCTTCCTCTTCTCATAAATGCTAACTGCGAGAGTCGAACACTCTACTTTGGCAGAGAGGAACCCGGACGAAGCTATGCCGAAGGGCAGAGTTTCGTCCGGGGAGGTAGACAGACCTTGAACCCGTTTATACGGGTTCTAAGGGAATATTTTTGATCGAGCCTACGGGATCGGAAAATCCAGGGTAAACTCGGTCTTGTGCCACATACAACCTTCGTGGGGGTGGGACTGTTAAATATAGCGTAGAGCAGTCTCTGACTGTGTGCGACTTCTGCCGAACTCTCTGCGTTGGCAGAGCGGAACCGGACGAAGCTATGCCGATGGGCAGAGAAGGGCTTGGAGAACCCACGGTAAACTCGGCCTTGTGCCACATACAACCCTCGTGGGGGGCTGTTAAATATAGTTTAGACACAGTGTTTAACCTACCGTTCGGACGTACACCTCTATCTGCTTATTACTAACACTCCTTGCTTTGTATATATCTTCAATACATTTGTTCAACCTACCTTCGTCTTCCGTGTCTTTCTTTCTGGTCCCTAAGCAGGCCACAATGAATAGCATCATAACATTTTCCACTGAGCATTTTTTAAGAAAAAAAAACAAACAAACAAACCATAGATAAAGCCCTTAGTAAGGTGTGAACTGTAATTGTGAGTATAATTTTTTGTATTTGCTTGGACTACCAGGAATCCCTTCAGTGAGTCTATCAAAACATTTCCCAGTCAGCTCGAGGGTTCCAACTACTATTGGAATTATAGATGTCCTCATATGCCATATTTTTGAGATTTTCAATTCAAGATCCTTGTATTTTGATAATATTTGAAAATCTTCAAAAATACATTATAGTCTGCAAGAACTTTACAAGAAGTTACATTTTGTTTTTCCGGTGGTTAATCACGATGTCTGGGCGGTTAGCTTTGGTTGTTCTGTCTGTGTGTATTGTAAAATCCCATAAAATTGTTGCAGGCCCTATCTCTGTAACTGGGCCTCGGTGGTGTTCATACCAATTTCTAGCAGTTTCCTTTTCGTAAAGTTTGCAGATTTTCCAATTATTATTATTATTATTATTATTATTACTATTATTATTATTATTAGTGATTGTTATGTTTCCTGCTTTGTATCCTCTAGAGCTGGGTCCAAACTATGGTCCTTAGGCCCTATAGGGTAATCGTCATTTAATTGATAGCGCTTTTCTTAGTATATGGATATAAAATTTTCCTAGTAGGACGATCTGGGCAACTTGTATGTTGATGTTACCTGGGACGCTGTTAGTAAAATTGTGCATTCTTTTTTTTCACGAGGCCCTGTGCCCCGAATAGTATTGGTGCAGTCTTCATTCCCCACATCCTGTTAATCTCAATCTCCATGTCTTTGTATTTGAACAATTTCAAGATAATTTTTACGGACGTGTTTCCCTCAGCTTGTACTGCTATGTCAATAAGCATACTCTTCCCGAATTTCTTGTTTTTTATGATATAACGTCTACTGGCTTTTATTTCCTTGTTGAATTGGCATGTCCCAGAGAATAGTTACATCATTATTTTGGTTAACTGCGTCATACCATCTTTCAGTGGATTCGATTTTGTGCTTCTTGCATATCTTCCAGTGCACATATGTTGCTACCTCGTTATGTCTCTGGGTATTTCATTTTTTGCTAGTTCCGGACATCCTGAGATAATATGGCGGACAGTTTCATCGTATTTTCCACACATCTTGCATTTCGGGTTGCTTCCATCCTTGATTATGTGACTGTGATAGGATCTTCGATGTTTTGGTCCTGAGCAGCAATAATTAGATTCCTGGTAGGTACACATTTCTTTTCGGGTCGCGCCCAGAAAAAGAAAAAGAAAAAAAAGACATATCTTTTACATAGATAAAGCCTTTAGTAAGGTTTGGGCTGTATTCGTGAGAAATATTGTATTTCTTTAAGTCATCGGCTTTAAGAAATCCCTTCAATGATTCTACTGGAATCCTTTAAACCTTTGGAATTATTATGATTATTATTATTATTAACAGAGTAGGCCCTGAAGAAGCTTGTCAGTTCATATTTCAAAATATCAAGAATCTTTAAATATGTAGTAAGAACATCAGACAAGATGTGGCAGAAATATTGAAAGCAAGGACGAATGGTAGACTTATAAATATTTTAATATATTTTCCGTTATTTTAAAAGATATAATTTAAGTAAATGCTTTGTTTTTTTTTTAATTAAACAGTATTAATTACTTTTACCGACCGGAATTTATCTTACATACTCATAAATATGTAAGATAAATTCTGTCGAGAAAGATTTTCTAGCGCGATAAAGTGAACAAACTTTTCTATTTGCAGAGCTTATCAATTGATTCAATATAATCTTCATATCCTCGGAAAGCATTAGTCTGAGAAGGTGCAACGGGTCACTTTACTGGAAGTTAGCATCTATCATGTTGATGGAAGGTAAAACGTTTCGGATGCGTTAAAATGAACAAGCCATTCCTGCGATTAGTTTGTAAAGATTCAAGCGGGAACCATTTAAATGGAGCTAAAGCTTCATTAACTGTTGTTCTTCTGACGGGGCATAAAATGGATATACATGTGGAATAAGAAAACTAGAAAACGCCAGTCCGCCTCGTAGGCGAGAACCTGTGTACATTTGTCATCAATATTCGAAATAATTTCATTTTTACTGCGCCTTCGTACTAATAATAACATTTTACTGTAAAACAATTCAGCTTAGGTGCAAGCCCATGTTTTTCTATTTCATATCTGAAGTCTGATTTCATAATGGCTGCCAATTTAAAAATATTCTATCAATCAATCGCAGTATATATATATATATATATATATATATATATATATATATATATATATATATATATATATATATATATATATGTGTATGCGCGCAAATATATAGAAAAATAGGAAATAACACTTTAGGTAAATAATCCGAAGTTCTTTAGTATTTTTTGTTTTTATTCTTTTTTTGAAAAAACAGTGCTCCATACAAAAGTAGAGCTTAAATTATAATTATTTTTTTTAAATATGATTCCTTCGCTACATAAGAGTTCTCATGTTTCAAAAACAAGAGCCAAAAGCTCTGTTTCATCCTCAAGCAAAATTTTTGGAATCATTTAAAAACACATGGAAACCTACCATTTCAAAAAAAGTTCGCTTGAGGATGAAACAGAAATGAAGGATTTGTGTTTAATGCACATATATATATATATATATATATATATATATATATATATATATATATATATATATATATATTATGATCATTTTTTAAATATTTATAGTATTATTTCAAGGGAATCAGTGGATTTTTATTTTCAATCGAACATTATTTCTTATTATTTTGAATTCTATTACTTCGATGGTATATTTTAGTGGATACACGTGTTTGAGCAGAAGCCTTGTTTTTAGAGAGTGTTGATTGCGTCAACTATCTTGTGCATTCACAAGTCTTAATAAATAAAATGTTCAAGTCAAGGGACGCAAACCTGAGCTCTATCGGAAAAGTCTGTTAATATCTATCTATCTATCTATCTATCTATCTATCTATCTATCTATCTATCTATCTCGCTCTAATCATATCTATCTATCTATCTATCTATCTATCTATCTATCTATCTATCTAACCCCATCTGTTCGTCTCTCTCTCTGTCTATCTATCTAACCCCATTTGTTCGTCTCTCTCTCTCTCTGTCTATCTATCTATACCCGTCTGTTAGTATCTCTCTCTCTCTCTCTCTCTCTCTATCTATCTATCTACCACCGTCTATTCATATCTATCTATCTATCTATCTATCTATCTCGCTCTAATCATATCTATCTATCTATCTATCTATCTATCTATCTATCTATCTATCTATCTATCTATCTATCTATCTATCCCCATCTGTTCGTCTCTCTCTCTGTCTATCTATCTATACCCGTCTGTTAGTATTTTTCTCTCTGTCTCTCTCTCATCTATCTATCTATCTATCTATCTATCTATCTATCTATCTATCTATCTATCTATCTATCTATCTATCTATCTAATCATATCTATCATTCATCTATCTAATCATATCTATCTATCTATCTATCTATCTATCTATCCCCATCTGTTCGTCTCTCTCTCTCTGTCTATCTATCTATACCCGTCTGTTAGTATTTCTCTCTCTCTCTCTCTCTCTCTCTATCTATCTATCTATCTATCTATCTATCTACCACCGTCTATTCATATCTATCTATCTATCTATCTATCTATCTATCTATCTATCTATCTATCTGATTACCTTTCATCTGAGAACCAGATAATTTGTACAAAATAATTTCACAAATCTCTTCCTTTGTACCCTGTTCTTTCAGGGCGTGAACACATAGGACCGTTGAATGTAAAATATGCACAACTGCCTCAGCCACAAGACAACACACTCCCATGTACTTCTGTTTATTATCTAAAATCTGATTCCATAAGCACTGGCATTTTAAAACTGATTAATATCGACTTACAATATCAATCAGTGGTGGAAAGAAAGAAGACCGTAGAAAATACCGTCTTTCTTTTTGCTGTCGTGTGTCCCTTCCCAAGAACTAACGGGACAAACGTCCCCCGACGTCACCCCGAAAGGTTTAAGCAACTAATCCTAAGATTAATCAAACATGGCAGGCGGTGGATTTCATCTTTTTCGCTCGCTTACATCTTTGCCTGGCTACATCAACATGGAGAAACAGGTAACAATTTCCTGACCGGTATTGTCAACACAAAGGCGAGTCAAAAGTAGAGGTGAGGGCGAGAAGGAGAGGAAGAAAAGGAGGGAGAAAAAAAAAAGGAAAAATAAAGAATGAAAAATAGAAAGTAAGAGAGTGCGAAAGAAAGAGAGAGAGAGAGGGGGGATGGAAAAGTGAGAAAGAGAAGTAAAGCAACAGAGAAAAAGAGAAAAGGTGAAAAACACGAGCAAAAAGAGAGAGAATGAGAGAAAGATAGAGAAAAAAATTAGGTTAAATAGAAAGCGGATAAGAAACAGGGGGAGAAATAAAGAAAAAGAGAGAGGAAAAGAGAAAGAGAAGGAGAGAGAGAGAGAGAAAAGGAAAAGAGAAAGAAAGACAGAGAGAGAGAAATAGAAAGAAAGCAAGAAAGAGAGAAAAGAAAAAAGTGAGAAAAAGAAAAGAGAAAGAAAGAAAGAAAAAGAGAGAAAGAGAAAGAAAGAGAGAAAAAGTAAAGAGGAAAAAGAAAGACAGAGAGAGAAAAAGAAAGAAAGAAAGAGAGAAAGAGAGAAAAAGAAAGAAACAGAGCCAAAAGAGAAAAAGACAAAGAGATGGAGTCTGAAATAAAAAAGACGAGAATATAGCAAAATAAAAAAATCTGAATAAAAATTGTGAACAAAAAGAATGAAAGAGAGAAAAGGGGAGGAGAGAAGGAAAGACTGAGAAACAGAAAGAAAAAAGAATGAGATATTGAAACCGAATAAGAGAGAAGGAGAGAGAATAGAAAAGTGGGCACTGAAAAACAAAAAACCAGTACACCTTCCAAAAATCTCTTTACATTTTCATCTATTCGACACCTTTTTGTGAGAATTACCAACCACCCCACTAACAAAACTTACTTTTCTCACCTGTCTATCAAGTTCAAACTGAGTTCACCAAACATTTTTCTTCGACTACGTTGTTTTCCTTTAGATACACTTTACAACTTCCTTGTTTAAATCCTTTCACTGTTTCGTACAACGTTCAACTCGAAATAGTTTCAAATGAAAACAAATTAGATTTTGCAGACCATTAGCATTAATAGTGAGTTCGATTTTCACTTGGTGTTTAATGTTGCAATAACAGCTGCTTACACATTTCTGAGTATATCCGTCTGCCAGTGGAGGCGCAGAAAAGCTATTCTCAGGTGCAGACGACTATTCAGGCACATTTTGCTTAATATAGTCTGTTTTTGTTGCATGAAAAATTTAAAAGCAACGACTAACTCATGTATACGAGACGCGGAAGCGAAAATCATTATTGTTTCGTACGTGTATTGGTTGATATATTGAAAAGTAATTGTCATCTTTGATAATGGCTTATGTAAGCCGAAAGCTTAGACTGGATTTAAACATGTATCAATATGGGGATTTCCTTTCGTCTTTCCATGATAATGTTATTAAGCTTATCAGACAATATGAAAGGAACTTGCTTAAAATAAACAGACAAAACTTGTCTATATTATTTAAGGAAACATGCATTAATATCTATCTATCTATCTATCTATCTATCTATCTATCTATCTATCTATATATATATATATATATATATATATATATATATATATATATATATAATTTATTAAAATCACATCGTGGAGCGAATTATGCGGAGAGGCGGCCTGTTAACAGGTCGGGGTATTTCCTGGCAGAACGGATCTTATGTTGCAATACCCAAAATCCGTAATGAAGCCACTGATGACCTCTCTCGTTGCATTTTTAAATGTATTTTAAAAATATATATATGATGATTGTCACGTCTTTGCAGAAGACTATCTCTTCACTTTGTAATATTTTTTTTGTGTTTTTCATTCAGAATTTTATTATTTCCATCACTTTTAAACGAGCTAACGCTCTGCTATGAGCCTGTAAGTGATTCTTAAGGTCAGCATCGCTTTTAAAACCTCTCTTACACGCGTGGCAAACACAAAGTTTGTCTGTGTTACCTTTGTTGGAAATTTACCTGTAAAATCATGTGATGTTTGAAAAAAAAAAACTTGCACTAGTAACCTGCAGGTCTTTCTGGTACAGTTGCATTCACAGGAGTTTGCAACTGACCTTTCTTGTGTGATCTCGTGTGATCTCGTGTGACTGGCAAAGGCAGCTGCCGAAAGGCTGATTTTTCCACAAATACTGCGAGTGTGTTGGTGTCCTAGCTCCGGGTCGGATTCTAATTCCTCCTTCCTCGCTAATGACGCGCTTTTTGTTGTAATGTTCAATTCTCTTCTCCTCAAAATTGTTGCAGTCTTCCCAAATCAACCTTCTCCAACCAGATCTATCTCCAACCACATTTTCCCAGTTTTCAAATTAACACCAAGAGTCTATATTTATTTATATAAATATATATATAACATGTTACGTTTTTTAGATCTGATTAAAAACGTGACATGTATACGTGTAACTAAACTTTTTACGTTAAAATCGACCGCGTGATATGATCAGTCTGAGTTTCAATAGAGCCGATCTTCAGACGCTTAATATATATATATATATATATATATATATATATATAAATATAATTATTTATTTAAAAATATGATTCCAACGTTACATATGAGCTCTCATGTTTCAAAAAAAAAACAAGAGCCGAAAACTTCAATTCGGCTCTTGTTTTGAAACATGAGAACTCTTATGGAATCATATTTTCAAATAAATAATTATATTTATGCTCTACTTTTGTATCGAACACTATTTTTTAAGAATAATAACAAAAATACTAAAGAAATTTGGATTATTTACCTAACGAGTTCTTTCCTATTTTCTATATATTTTTACACACACACACACACACACACACACACGCGCGCACACACACACACACACACACACACACACACACACACACACACACACACACACACACACACACACATATATATATATATATATATATTGAACAATAAAAATATTAAAAATTAAAATCTTCAGACACACTGGGTTGTAGATTAATATTCTTTCGTTTTTTTATTATTATTATTTCATTTAGATTCCTCGACTAGTTTCTGCCAAAATGGCCACCATCAGGAAAAGAAAAAAATCTGCTTGCTGGTAGCAGTGAACTACAGAAATGAATGTCTTGATGGAAAACATGAACTTTTGTCTGTAGTTTTCATTTGTTTTTTTATTTTTTTAACTTAGATAGATTCATGTGAAAAAGATAAAAAAATAAAAAAAAAATAATGAAAACTACAGACAAAAGTTCATTTATATATATGAGGAGAACGTCCCTTTTTTTTTCAATACAAAAGCTGTAAGCGCTGCCTAGAGGAAAAGCTACTACAATTACCTTTCCAGAGCAAAGCAAACGACTAAATAAACGTTAAGAACTCACCTGAAAATGCATGTACGGAAAAATTACTACGTTACTTAAAAATCGAAAACAAACAAGAATAAAAAAAATAAGTAAATAAAATAAAATAAATAAACAAAAGCAAGTAAAATAAATTAATCCCAAAAATAAATAAGTAAATAAACTAAGTAAATAATAAATTAGCAAACTTCGTACGCACAGATAAACACAAGAAAATATGGTAATAACAAACAATAAAATAATTAACAATATTGATCATTGATCTGTCTATATAAGTAGTAGAGTAAAATAAACGCACATAGCCTGACGGTTACGTTTAGAATGAAGCAAACTGTCGATTGTAAGTGTTGACTTCAATGTCCCTTATATATATATATATATATATATATATATATATATGAAGAAATATACTCTTAAGGTGTACTATATTTATGGGTTAAAGTGCTCAATATCAGAGATAGAGCGTGTGTAAATATAAAAGTGAACTTTGAAGTCAACACTTAGAGGCGACAGGCTGTTTCATGCTAGACGCAATCGTCAGGCCACGTGGACTCTAAGTGTTGACTTCAATTTTCACTTATATATTATAAATTTACTAATTTAAAAATATGGTTCCATGTTTTTAAATGAGTAAATTTATAATATTTATAATATTATGCTCTGTAGATTTGCATTGAGCACTGTGTTGTAAATGTGAAAATAGTAAGAACACCGGATTATATATCTTACTGTTCTTTCTTTTTATTATAATATATATATATATATATATATAGAGAGAGAGAGAGAGAGAGAGAGAGAGAGAGAGAGAGAGAGAGAGAGAGAGATACACGCACGCACACACAGATATATATTACTAATGTTCACTTAATATAACGCCCTAGAGCCACTCAGGGTAGAGGTGTCCCTGAATGAGGTTTTGAATGTAGGAGGAAATAGGGGTACTTATTATGAGAATATTTAGGATAGTTAACTTACCTGGGTGGAACTTACCAACGGAATACGAAGGCAATGAGCAGGATCCGAGCCGGTGTCCGTAGCATAACAGATTTTAGATGTAAAAGACTGAATTGGTGGAACTAAGGATCGTAACTCCTCTGAACATTTGCCAAAAGATTGTGAGGCGATCAGTATTTCGTCTGTGGTTGTAAAGTGGACGCTTTTGATTCAAAAGTTAGGATTGGGTTGTTCCAGCCAAGATGTAGACCCAAATTCCATTTTGCGTCTGATTTAACTTGTAAAAAAAAAAAAAAATGTAGGACCGCTGGAAATGGATAAC